GAAGAAACGTTTGTCAACTAACTTCCGGTTTATTTTAAAAGAACAATTATTAATAATCACAAAATCGCGAGGTAGGCTTACTATGATTATATTTGTTTTGAAGAGGAGCTAACGCTCAAAATGTAAGCTTCAGAAACTCTATACGGTGCCTAATATGTAAAACAAAATCATCTTAAAGTAGTACCGTCTACTTTTAGGTTTTTTTACATCTGGAGGCAAAAATCAAATAAAATGTTGCATCTCTAGTCTATTTTGAAAATGGATGTGTAAGATTCCAATCTTCAATGTGGTAAAAAGTCGAGTCGACGGAAGAAAAAACAGCAGGAGAAGGAATTCCAGGTTGCGCAGGCTTAGTAGCGAAGAGAAAACAGCCTACTTAATAGCCAAGGAACTACCGGCCCAGGCTCAGCCGTTGGCATTCGCAGCAAATACCGATTTCTTGCGTATACGGATTCCATACCTCGGTGTAAATATCAATCCGTGGCCAATAACTAACGGTTTCATGGAACTCATATTCCCCAGTGAAATGAATAAATGTAAACTCCATGAACCGCTGAATGCATCGTCCCTCATTCTTGAGGCAGCTGTCACCTTGACATTTGACTTCTCTGATAAATCTGGGGAAAACTCCTTCTGGCAGGCTTGTGACAATAGTACGTTCCGTACATAAGCGAGTTAATCCGCTTTGACCCACACGCGATTTGTTATTTTGATAGAATTTGCTTGGAAGCTTGTCCCGAAGTCTTCTGGCATCTGTCTCGTTGATTGCCATGTAACGTGAGTTGAAGTCGCCGACCTGTTGAAGCCTGGCTTTCAGCTGGATGTCATTGAGGCGGATGCAAAGTCGGGTAAGGGGTCGCAATTTTCCTCTACTGCGATGATCAGGGATCTCGTCGACAATGAGACTGCATTCTTTGCCAGCAATTTTTGACTTCTGGGAAATTGGGCGAAGGCGGTTGTACACCGTAGGAGGAGATTGCGGTACGTTCCATCGGCGCCCTAAAGATGGCGGAATATCAACGTACAGAAATATCAAAGTGGCGAGGAACTGCATCTGTAAAATAAGAGGCACCGATTGCAATGTAAGGTGTCAACTTTGACGCTCAATAGTTGCATCCTCCAACTTTAACAGCTGTTTGTTCGGCAAACCTCTCATTAAATAATCCGTGAGATTCATTTCTAATACTCCGAATGTAATTGAAGTAGCAGATACAACTGAGAAAGTAAGTATGGGGTCAGCTTGTGTTTTAGTGAAAGTGCAACGTTTTTGATCAATTTGTTCGGTGTACAATTTAAATGACAGAGAAAGTCAACCAAAGTTGAATTCCATCCCAATAGGTCAATTTTAGAAAAAGACAAAATAAGGATTTCCACCAAAAAATAAAAAGATTATTTTACCTTTAGCGTTAGGCTCATCATCTTTAGCTCTGCAGGAAAGTTCCAGTAGACCAATTCAAGATTCTTTGAAAACCTGAAAAATCAGCAGTTCAGGAATATTTTATCATCGTAGTAAATTTAACGAGCTTCAGTTCTTTTTCTATATTTAAAACTTTTTTCACTTCTCAATCAACCTCTTTCCTCTCTTGGTTAATTGTTTTCTGTCTGGTCTTCGTCAACCCCAGCAAACACCACAATTATATCGCTCTGAAGAAGAGGTAATGCTTTTCACGGAGACCGCCAATTTACATTATAGCTCAGTTGATAAAACAAAATCATCTTGATAATACCTCCCTTAGACGCAGCACTACAGTTGTTCTTAATAACTAACCCCTTTCTAATTGTTTCAAAGAGTTGTGCGATCGAAACGGCGACACCCTATGTGGCCAAAACTGTTTCAATATATGTGTATAAACTTAATTTTAAGTCCAATTATATAAATCAAGTCATTAATTAATATAAATTTGGGTGGTATGTAAGCAAAATCCTGTTACTTTCTTTAAAAATGTTTTTACCCTTAATTCGGTGAAGACCGGAGATTACTTGCTGAAAGGTAAAGTAATCTTGTGTCCGAAATCGTGTTCTCTTTGAGGCCCTGCTTGCGGTTGTGATTTTCTTGGATAACTGGACTTCTTTTTAAAACAACTGCTAAGCGGAAAAAAACAGTCCAGAACTTTTGCAAAGTTCGAGCAATTAACGATGGTAAATCAAATCCGCTTTGCATAAGAATAAGCAGCTAATTTTTTCCGCTTCTGTCTAATTGCTAAAATCCTTGACAAACACACCGTCCTAACGACGCAGGATTAGTTAGGTCAATTATGCTCGGAAATAAAATGGAGTATTTTAACTGAATAATAAAGCTCTTTTTCTTTCACAGTAATTGGCTTGATGAAAATTCGATTTTACAAGCATGCTTCACTAACAGAAGTCCACTGACAATAAAGTGTTATGATCATCAATTGCTTCTTTCGGCAGCGTGCGTTCCCAGAGATATAAAACACTTGGGAAGTTTGCAGATCACAGAAGAACCGTGAGTTGCTCTCGGCCACACTTCGAACAACTCTTTCCTGTCTTTTTGTGCGGGAAATTTGGAGAGCTAGGTGACTTGTGAACCAAAAAGTAAATTTGATAAGAGCAATGGCATGGTGGAAATTTGTATTTCTTAGTTTGAAATATTGTGTTTTAATTTTCCTGTTACTCGCTCTCTTTTTTTTGCAATATGATGACATTTCCTTATCAGCCTCCCGAAAAAAAGGTCAAGTACAAAGTTCCGGTATTTAATTAAATAAATTGAATTTTATTTACTTCGTCATCCCTAATTTCATAGGCCTCTATTTAGTATTTGTTATTCAATGGTTTAATCTAATTTGTTTACTATTTTCAGTCCCACCAAAACAAACTAGTTAATTTACTAATTTGTATTTTTTCCGCTTAAGACGATGTTCCTATGAGCAACGCCAAAATTTGCTCTTTATGAATGAATGATAACAAAACACTTTGGTTCTCTGGAAAAATCGGTGTTCATTTTTTCCTCTTTCGAACATACTGCTGATGTCTGTTGCGGTATCTAAAACTCAATTTCCATTTAGTCCAGTCTCGTTGGACTTGGAAATATTTTATTTTCGACTTCTGGGCACGCTTTTATGACGTCAACGTATTGGAAGTTCCGTTTTTAAATGAAGCCTTCCGCGACAAATCACAACATTCCGTTCTCTAGAAAAATCGGTGTGCGTGAACATTTCCTTTTCAGCGTGTCGTTCATCCTAGTTGTGTTTTCAGTTTATGAATATTTATTTCTGAAAATGACTTAGAAGGCCTTGGCAATTCTTAAAGTTTTTCCGCTCTCATTCGTTGTCGTAAATGTCTCTATAAAAATTCACAGTGTATCGTCAAAAGTTTATGACCGCTTGTTTTGCGTGTATGTCTAGTCTAGAAGTCAGCTTTATACGTGATGTGCCCACGCCTGTGCTCTACACGCGATGTGTTCACGCCTGGTGAACACGACAAAGTACTTAGGAAAGGTCAATGCCATCTCCTTTCACATTACCAAATATTAAACACATCGTGGAAGTACACGCCATCAGAGGATGTGAAAACTCGCGTTATTTTACGTCACTGACCCCAAGTTTAATGACAACATTTTTCTCTGGGATAGTTTTTTGACTGTCTACACTCTTGACGAAGATC